AGCTCTTGTATCAGCTTCCTCCCCATGACAATGAGGTACTGACCAGAGTCAGAACTTTAACATGTTCCAGAATTATGTTGTTAAAGCACTCAGGTATTTAAAATTATATTACTGTGCTACTGAGGCCAAAGTGTGGTTAAGTGTGCTTAACGATATTGTAAATGTTTGTCTGATGATCTCAGTTGGTCACTATTCCTGCAGAGCTTGTATGTGGAGATTTCAGGAGTATCATAGGGGGGGTTCTTTGTCCTCCCTTTAAGTGTACCCTTGAACAATAAATCATTTCTCAGTGTGATTTTTATGATGTTTGCTGTCAGACCCACTGTTTCATTCCACTGAGAATTCCTGGCATAACTGTGGTCTACACTCAAGGTTTGCATGGCTAGAAGCACCGCTCAAAGAGGCTTTATGCGTGACACTGCTATTTACTGCTGTGTGGTGCCAGTGAAACCTGATTGTTTGTCTCTTCTTCTTTTATCAGTCTGTTGGATCTTTTTTTTTAATAAACACTGGGCATGATTTGTATACTTTCCAGTTCTGTTGTTCCAGGTTGAAAAGAGAGGAAAAAAATACCATCAAAAGTGTTTTCACTCACGTTTAGAAAGACGTTTATTTGTGGTCAAAGTGACCTCTTTTATTCATCTGTTTCTGATCTGGGTAAATAAACCTTCTCCCTTTCCCTTCATTCCAGATCCGATATTGCCAGTCTCTCAATGAGGAAGAGAGGAGGGAGCTGCACATGTTCAGCATGCAGAGGAAGAAAGAAGCGCTGGGCAGAGGAACTCCCAAACTTCTACCTAGAGCTCTGCAGCACACCATTTGTGAACATGTATGTACTCCACAGAAATCTACATCTATACAGAAGTGTACACCAGTGTGTTGTGATCTGCTTGTTGTAAAGGTGCTTGCATACTTGGTTTTCTGACTCTCATCATGTTCAACTCTCTGTAGTCACTCAGGTAACCTGAGTGATAAATTAGTCGTGTTCATTAAAGGGACACTCCGTCCAAAATTGAAAATGTAAAAAGGTTGATCATTTAGTGCTCTGTTATTACTATTAGCACCCCAGTGATTTGTAAATTCTGTCAAACCGCTGCAATGATGCACTATAGAATACTACATAAATAACATACGAAATTAAAGTTTTTGGGCCAGAATGTCGAGGAGAACATAAAGATGTGTGATCAATTTCAGTGTGGATGTATTTAAAAAAAAATCATTTAGGGATATAAAAATAAATATTCTGTGTGGTTGTCATAGGGAATGAGACAGCTTGTACAAATGGGCAGAGTTAGGCCTGAGGATGGCCTTCAGAGGCTGTGATAAAACATACAGGCTGTCTATGCACAAAACTGGGCACTAATGTGTATGATGTTTTCTAAAGATTGTCAGTCTTGTGCGGTCTATTGTTGTACCATACTACCTCCTTGCAAGGCCTATTCTTTTGCAAAGACTCTATTTCATCTCAGCAACAAATGTGTCCTGTCATGAGCTGTCACATATGATATGGCAGGCCCGTGCTGATAGTCTGTAGTCTCCAGTTTCTGTTGCCACAAACTTGCAGGACATTCAACACCCCCATTTCCAAGGCCAAGTTTTAATAATGGGAAACAGCTGTTAAACATATACTGTGGCAGCAGCAGTTACTTGCGGCCTTACGTTTGGTCATGCACTGCTGAGTTGTAGATGCCACTTATTGTTTAAAGGGAAAAAAGGGGAATGAAAATTTGATGTCTGTTTTTCAGAATCAAAAACAAAGGACCCTTTTAAGTCTAATCCTTTGTGTACTGTGTTTGTAAACAATCAAATTTGCAGTAAGTATGCAGCCTTAGGCCACCTAGAACAAGTCTCATAATTTCTTGATGTGAATTGCAGTGTAAAGAAGGCATCAATGGGGGAGAGATGGCAGTATTTGCCTCGAGGGCTGGCTCTGGGCCTTGCTGGCACCCAGCATGCTTCAGCTGTTCCACCTGCCATGAGCTTTTGGTTGACCTCATCTACTTCTACCATAACGGCAAGATCTACTGTGGAAGGCATCACGCTGAGCTGTTGAAGCCAAGATGTTCAGCTTGTGATGAGGTAAGCATGGACCATTCTACATCTTGAGCATCTAGATGGTAGATAATTAATTTGAATGTGTATTTAATATGTACCTTTCTGTGTTTTCGTAGATCATCTTTGCTGATGAGTGCACAGAGGCTGAAGGTCGTCACTGGCACATGAATCACTTCTCTTGTTTTGAGTGCGAGACAGTTTTGGGTGGACAGAGGTATATTATGAAGGATGGCCGTCCCTTCTGCTGCGGCTGCTTTGAGTCCCTGTATGCAGAGTATTGCGAGGCCTGTGGGGAAAACATTGGTAAATGAAAGTGTACTTGCTTCATTTAATATTGCATTTAATGATTGTGGTATGTCATTTGATTTTCTTATACTTTCTCTTGCTCTTCTTCAGGAGTAGACCACGCTCAGATGACTTACGAGGGTGTGCACTGGCATGCTACCGACAAGTGCTTTTGCTGTGCCCAGTGCAAGACTTCTCTCCTTGGGTGCCCTTTCCTTCCGAAGGACGGACGGATCTACTGCTCCAAGGCCTGCAGCCTCGGTGAAGATATCCACGCATCCGACTCATCAGATTCTGCCTTCCAGTCTGCCAGGTCACGGGAGTCCCAACGTAGTGTGAGAATGGGAAAGAGTAGCCGGCCTGTAGGCCGGTACAAGCAGACACAGCTCTATGCACTAACACCAGAATACAGAAACCCAAGTCTTTGTGATGACAGCTCTGAGACCATGTGTCACCAGATAGAGCGCCTCAACTTTTCAGAGGACAGCTTTTGGAGGGACAGAGAGGAGCAGGAACCTGCAGAAGATCCTTTGGAGGAGTGGGCTGAGCATGAGGATTATATGACGCAACTGCTGTTGAAGTTTGGAGACCGTGGAGTCTTCCAGCAGGCAGAGGACGCCAGGCAGGAGAAATGGATGCTGACAGACTCAGACCCCAGCAGGGCCAAGCAAGACGTGAAGATGGGTGGCCATAATCTGGCCAGTAAAATACATCACACAGATACATACTGGACCCAGTCTCAGGATGGTCTTGGAGACTCTGCCTATGGGAGTCACCCAGGGCCAGCCAGTGCCAGGAAGATCCAGGAACTGGAGCTAGAACAAGGAGCAGGGGCTGGCTTTTGGTCAAAGCCTAGGCAGTGGTACGATGACTCTTTGGAGTGCATTACTGATGAACTGAGAAAGGCTGAACAGAATGTAGGCGACTCCATGGACTCACTAGCCCTCTCAAATATCACAGGTAAGAACATGCTTTCTCCTGAAAGATGTTTTCGGCAGCGCTGTAAAGTTTCAGAAATCCCTAACAGGTTCTCTAAACAACACGTTACTCGGCATTACAGCAGTATGAACAGCTTGCCGACAGTATTTGACCTCTTCTCAACTTTGTATTTCAGGTGCCTCAGTGGACAGAGAGAGCAAAGACAGACAGACCACCTACTCCCTCCAAAGCATCGGTCAACAGGAAGTGGAGGAGTGCGATAAAATGAGCAATATGGGCACGTTAAACTCCTCCATGCTACACAGGAGTGCCAACTCCCTCAAGAGCCTAAACTCTTTGCTGGACAATGAGGAGATACTAGGAGAAGATGAAATAGAACAGGAGGAGGAAGAGGAGCTTCCAGCCCATCTGACAGAGGAATCTCCTTCTCCTTTGCATCTCCCTGTGCTGAGAAGGACCAAGTCCCAGTCTCAACCTCAGTCGCGTTCTCAACAGGTGAAGTTCTCAGAAGATGTTGTGGATAACGGATATTACGGGGAACTGGCGATGCGACCGCCTCCAATGAGTGAGAGGACGCGCAGACGGACCTATCACATGGAGGAATCGCAGAGACGTCTTAGCCAACACCGGCACAACCACAGACGCCGGCAGGGTCGGAAAACATGCTCTGAAAACGCACTCCACCTGTCAGTCAAAGAGCAAACAGAGGTGCACTATGAAACTCAGATAACTTCTAATATCTCAGAGCCCAGGAAAGGGATTCTCCTGAACTCTCCTGGACATATGCCTTACCACCAGACCTCATCAGACTATGCGCTACAGAGCATGGTCCGAGTGGACCGCTCTCAAGGCTTTTTTGATGACGATGAAGACGACTGGTGTTCCACATGCTCATCCTCATCCTCAGAGTCTGAGGAAGAGGGATTCTTCCTAGGAAAACCCATTCCCAAACCCAGATCCCAAAGTTTTCATTATTACACCGAAGACTGCCAGACCCGTGTAACAGCATTACCATCTGTATATGGCTCACGGACCAAATCTAAAAAACGAGGCCATAAGGGCAAGAACTGCATCATTTCATAGAGCTTTCAGGATCACTCCTATGCCCATAATGAATTATTACACATGCTTGAATCTCTGTGACTCTGTACAGATACAGGCCACGAAGACCGAAGAGTACATATTGGTCTCTATAAAGTACGGTGCCACTACAAAAAGACGATTCCACCCCCCCTTAATTTTTTTTTTAAAAACACCTCCCATCAAAATTGGGCTGGATTTATTGGAACGTTGTATGAAATGATGTATAGCAGAAGCATTGTTAGTAGCATAGAGCCTAACTAAAATTATTTAATAGAGCAAACATTAATGTATATTTGTTAAATTAAGATTGAATTGATATTTTTTTATATCCCAATGTGAAAAAATGATTACCTAATCCTTTTCTGTTCTATTAAATGGTTATTAGAGTTTATTTCCTTCTTGCCATTTTGCTAACCAGGGTTTTGAAAACTGAAAACGTACTGTTCTTTCATATATCGGCCTTGTCACAGCACGGTACCTTGCGATTTAAGCAACTATGTTCTCGTCTCTCTGTCAACATGCTTATCCCCTTTTAATAAACGGGGAAAGGCACTTATTTTGTTGTATTGTATACATTTTATTGCAGGTAAGCATTCTGTTCAATTTAAACAATGTAATAAAGATTTAATAAATATGCTTTACTATCACCGGTTGTATCATTCTAGTGGATTGCGAAGGACTACTTGACTGCTATGTTTGCATACATCTTTATTTTTTATTTAATCACAGAAATAAATGATAGCACTGACAAAAAGCAACAAACAAAACATTTTAATACACCAGCAACAAATTTTGAACATTTGAAAATGACACAAAGTATTTTAAATTTATGTACCAGTATATTCAGACGTGGTGGCGCTGCAAAAATGGCACAAAGCACCCCAGGATCTCTGCTTCAAAAAATGTAACAATGATTATTCCAGAAAATATCTGCCAGAACTGCCTGTGCAACCTTCTGAATGAATACTCAGTCAGTACTATTGAGGTTTAATATCAAAATGAAAAGACCAAAAATTGACCCTTACGACACAAACTGTATGTATAAAGTAAACATTAATTCTTACTGTCAGTTTCAGACACATCAAGTCTTGCCTGTTGTTTTTTTTTCTTTTTCATACTCTCTCGGCGGTCCTCTTAGAAGACTAGTTTTATGTTGACCCTGGATTCATCACTGAAGTTCAACAGTCAACCTTTTTTTGTGATGAACAGGGAAGATAACATCTCGCTCTCACAGAGTCCCAAACCTCCAGACTACAGTCCTGAAGGTCCTCGCTCCAGCATTCACATCAAGCAGTGGGTTCTGGCTGCCGTACAACCTCGTCCAGTTCAGAGATGAAGTGCCGCAGGTCCTCGAGACACCGCTCGCGGATCTCACTCAAGTTCTCTTTCAGAGGGGTCTGCAGGTGCTTCTCCAGACTAGGCTCCTTGGCAACTAGCATCTTCACCACCATCCCAAATGTCTCACAGTCCTGACGATATACCTGGCCAACACAAAGACCAGCAACAGTATTAGAGTGCAGTCAAATCTGTAAATATCATTTTTTTTGTGCTGGTCAGAGTCCAGTTTCAACATTACAGAGATTCCTGATATACACAAACTAGCTTGGCGATGTTAAAAAAAGTTGTTATTAAGAATATTAAGTATGCACTGCCCAAACACAAAGAAGTCACAGTTTCTCTGTAATACTAAACCAAAATTTAAATATCTGTCTGTTGAAACTCACTCACTGAGCACATTATTAGCAACACTAATACAGGGTAGAGATCCCTTTGCTCTCAAAACAGGCTCAATCCTCCATGATGTTTCTTTGAGATTTTGGTCCATGTTGACATGATTGCATCATGCAATTCCAGGAGGTTTTTCAGACACACTTTATGCTGCGAATCTCCCGTTCTACCACATCCCAAAGGTGTTCTATTGGATTCAGATCTGGTATCCATTAGAAGAAGTAGCCATTATGGCTAAGATGGTTTAATTGTAACCATGAAGGGGTGCACATCGTCAGTAATAATACTCAGATAGGCTGTGGCATTCAAGAGATGACTGACTGGTATTACCAGGCCCAGAGTGTGCCAAGAAAACATTGCCCACACCATTACGCCACCTCCACCAGCCTGGACTATTGACACAAGGCAGGCCAGGTCCATGGGTTCATGCTGTTGGTGCCAAATTCTGACCCTACTATCCGTGTTCCTCAGCAGAAATTGAGATTCATCAGACCAGGCTATGTCTGTTCAGTCTTCAAATGTGGTCTTGCGTTTAATGTGTTCTGCACTCTGAGATGCTTCTCTGCTCACCAAAATTGTATGGTGTGGTTATGTGAGTTACCGTCGCCTTTTTGTCAACTTGAACCAATCCGGTCATTCTCTGCTGACCTCTCTCTCATCAACAAGGTGTTTCCGTTACTGGATGTTTTTTTTTTATTGCTCCATTCTGAGGAAACTCTAGAGACTGTTGTGAGTGAAAATCTCAGGAGATCAGCAGTTATAGAAACACTCAAACCAGCCCGTCTGGCACCAACAATCACGCCACAGTCGAAATCAATGAGATCACATTTCTTCCTCTTTCTGATGACTAATGAGAACATTACCTGAAGCCGCTGACCCGTATCTGCATCATTTTATGAATTGCACTGCTGCCCCAAGATTGGCTGATTAGATAACTGCATGAATAAGTAGGTGTACAGATGTTCCTAATAAAGTGCTCGGTGAGGGTATGTGAAGGAAATTCTAAGCACTACCAGCAGCATGTCAACATATTTATTAGATTAATATTGGATTTTTGTTTAGTTTTTTTATTTTGAATCTAACCTGGAAGAAGAATTCAATTTAAAACAGATTCAATGACGCTGATCAAGACGGGACACAGTCAACAATCAACAGTCATCACAACGATACTGCTCACCAAAGTAACCACCCTTTAATCTACTGCTTAACAGCCTAAGCTCCCTAATGACGATGGACAGAAATGAGAGGTTTTGTTGTGTGTTTGGGTGGAACCTGTAACCCCTGTGATCAAATGAGTCAAAGCCAGACTTTTTACAGCTCCCGTAAGCACCTTCTCCATTTCCCTGCTCGCACGCGGGGCCCCGAGGACATGAGCTGAAGCGTGGCTCTGCCAGCGTCTGAGAATGCAGTCCAACGCTAAGGTGCACGAGCAGACCGAGATAAAATCAGGCTCTACTTAAACAAATAGGCTCCAGGCTCGGATGGCTTCAAACTGATGCATCAGGTCATTTACACTGCCTGTGAAACAGGAGGGGACGACTACTAAATTTTTTATTTGTCAATTTGAAAGAACTTACCATATTTAAGGTGGTCAATAGAAAGATGCTTAGAAGTTATTTTTGTTTGCAAAGACTGCAAAACTGAAGGAGCAACTGAGTATGGAAGTATGGAAGCCCATTCCTGCCAGGTAGAGGACCAAAAAATAAATAAATAAATAAATAAATAAGACAAACAAACCAACAAAAATTCTTTGTTTTTGGCTGCAGTATGCCAAAACCTGGTTTTGGGTCTCAAAGTAATGACAATATGTTGAAATAATGACTTGTTTTCTCTAAATATTGACTTCCTATGTTGAAATGGCTTACCATGACTTCCTGTCTTGTCATTATGACTTGCTGTATCAAAAGAAAGACTTATTTTTGCCAAATATTGATTTACTATTTGAAATAATGACTCACTTTTACAACTATTACTAACTGAATAACTAATTTTTTCAACATAATATCTCAAGATTTTGAGATACTAAGTCAATATTTTGAGAACAAGTCATTATTTCGAGATGTTAAGTCAAAACAGGGTGATTCAAAAAGATTGATCTGATTTCAAAGCGCCATATTTTCACAACCGTGAAGCACCTAGGAACCAATCACATACCAATTGAAATAGGGGTTAACAGAGTTTCTGACTGTCAGTATGGCACTGAACCTCCAACAGCTCAGAGCATTCGTCGTTGGTTCCACAACACTGGATGATCTCTGAAATCGCATTGAAAGAGCCGTGAGTACAGTGACACCTGACATGCTCAATCCAGTATGGAATGAATCTGTCCGTACAGCTGAAGCAGGACGTATGGAGCACTTGTAAAATTACATAATAAACTATAAGCTCACTTAAACCATTTACAATTTACTGCATTGTTCTGTAACGATTTACAAGTTAAATAAATTATTCTGAAATCAGATGAATCTTTTTGAATCACGCTGTATTTTGAGAACAAGTCATTATGTTAAGATGTTAAGTCACAGAGACACACACACGCATCATCTAAACCGCTTATCCTTCTGGGTCGTGGTGAAGATGTTAAGTCAATATTTGCAAAAATAAATGATTATTTGAGACACTAAGTCAATATTTGCCATACTGCTGCCAGAGGCAGAGAAAAGGGAAAAAAATTCTTCTCTTCCTGGTGAGAATGGACTAGTTTGGAAAACTCTCAATATTTTTTTTTTAGCAAAACCTGCTTTTCATATCAAAGGAACACAATTTAATGAAGATGAAGTGGAGGATTGCAAAAAAATCAAGTATAAGTAAACAGCTGTTTTGGTAAGAAGACTTGTGCAGATATTTTCTCTCACTTAATTGAAAAGCAACAGTGCAAATGAATATTTAAAATAAGCAAGATGTCCCCAAACTTTTAACAGACAGTGTAGGTTAAGTATATGGAACTTTAAAACACTTCTGTCTGGAAAGCAATGCTACTGCAAGCATGTGGTCTGGCTTGGGGATAAATGGCTATAAAAGCTATTAACTTGATTCTAGATGTTGCCTAATCTACGAGTGACCTGCACATACATGTTCTCGAGCAGAAAACCAGTGACCACTTCTAATGATGCTGAATACAATGATCCAGTGGCTCTACATCCTGCCTTAGGCTTACAGAGGAATGAGGTAACCTGGTTCCAGGAATCAGCCTGGCCCACACACGGCGCTGTGCACATAATTGTAGTAGGTAATTAAGTGGAATTCAGAGTGGTTCCTGTAGTGCGTTCTGAGAGAGAGTCCATCAGAACATTCCAGAAGAGTCGAGCTGAATGATTCTGACAGATACAGGAAGCTCAGGAGCCCAAGGCAGCGCAGGAACACTTACAGAGTCACTCTGGAGGAATGCATTCAGCCTAGACTAATGGCCTATTAACCCTCTATGCACTGTTGCCATGGTCTTCATAATCTGTTTAGAAAACAAAGCACTGCCGATGCTGCTTCTCACAGCTCTGCTGATGCCAATGTCAGTCTTTAAATGAACACATTATATGTTAGGGAATGCAGACTACTAGGACTGTCACTACTGATTATATAACATTTAGTACTGTGCAAAAATTACTCATTTTTCAGTGTCAGAGAAAAACATATGGCATATATAATTTAACAGAACATTACACAGTACAGGCCTCAACAACTAAATATAATATTGAATCAGTTTTTTAATTTGTCCACTCTTCAATTTTAAGCACCAAGAAAGCCAAAAAAAAGTGAAAAAAAACATGAGTTTCCAAAATTAGGGTTCAAAAAATGAGTAAAAGAAACTGAAAAATGGGAGTCCTAACAACCATGCAAGACGTGGCAGGCCACCAGAACTATCACATATCAGATAAACAGCACTTAAAGCTTTCATCTTTGAGAGGGAGAAGAAAATCAAGCTCCACTCTTACTTCAGATTTGAAAAAAAATCCACAGGTGTTTCTGTCCATCCTTCCACTGTGAGAAGAACAACTCAACACTATGAGTCTGAAAGGATGTGTAGCTGTCAAGAAGCTGTTACTGAGACAAAAAAGAAGAAAATCAGCTGGACACCCAAGACGTGGAATAAGGTTAATAAGGTTTAATGGACTGATGAGCCAAAATTTGTTAGTGGTGTTGGATTGTAAGAGGCAGAAAACACAACCAACTTCTAAGACTGAACTTTGAAAGTATGGAAAAATATCCTTGCAGATTTCTTTGAAAAATACAAAAGGAAGTCTGAAAAAATGGAAGCAGTATTAAAAGCAAAGAGGGGACACACTACATACTAAAAAAAGTTTGTTCTGTTCATTTTTTGGAGGTCTGTGTAATTTTCTACAAAATGTGTTCTCTGCTTTTTGCCTGCTGATGAAAAATTAATAACTTGTATTAAAAAATAAAAATAAAAATTCATATAAAAAATTTTGTATTAAAAATTAAAAACTAAAAATTTCTTGAATTAAATGGTGGTCTATTTGCACAGTACTGTATATAATAAAACTAATAAAGCAAACAGTTGTATAAGAGGCCAACAAATAAAACAGCCTCGACAGTTACATATTATGCACAGTCGTTCAAATATTCCATACTGCTTTACTGAATAACTACAAAGTCTACATTTCATTTAAAAATATGTGGCCAAAAATGTATATGAATGGGAGTCTATGTGTCTATCAGACTCTGTTACTTATTGTAAGACAGACCAGTAGGAGAAATTAATATATGCATTATCATGCAGGCTGCCCACTAATCCCTA